AGTTTAAAAATATTTTTATATTTTAATGTTCCCGAAACTTCTTCATAAAGATATTTTTTTTAAATACAATTCTTAGTCGAACATGTACACTTATATTTAGTATGTACTGGACAGAAGGGTGTCAATGGCTATGTAGTTTGCCACTAAAGTGTATAATTACAATTAGACATGGCGGTTGTTGCATTGTGGTCTTGGATCTGGGAACCTTTTTTCCTTTAAAGTGAAAAATATAACAGAGGCAACTTCTTAAAATTATCTTTGATAACTGGAAAATTCAAATTAATTTTTATTTCAGAGAAGTAAATCTGGAATGGTTCTGGTAAGCTTTTATACCAGCATCGAACCTTGACGTGTCGATATAGATAAAGTGCTAACAATTGTGGTTTAAAGTGCATGTTTGTAGTACACCTAAAATCAATTAGCTTGTTGAGAAATGACATTAAAAAATCTAAATGACTGTAGAGACCAGTTTTTAAAATGTAGGTTGTGACTTAATCTTCCTCCACATTTAAAAACAGAGTAAAGAAATACTCTCTGCTGATAATGCATCGTTTTTGGAAGGAGTTGCAGGGGTTGAGTTTGAATAGACTTGCTTTCTTTTTTGTGAAGTGGTGGTTATCTTGAAGATAATCTTCTTAAATATTTACTTGAAGCAAAAGACAAATAGAAAATTCTGTGCCACCAAGTGTTGGGGCTGTTGAGTGCTGACCAGTGCCTATTTAAAATAATCAAAACTTGACACAGTGAAGTCTCTTTCATACACACAGTGTTTTCTTCACCCACAGCGTTAGCTGGGACAGCAGTGCACACTGCTCTAGACTGCAGGTTCCTGAGCACGGGGATTGTTTTGAGTACTTGTGCAGGTGTGGTGATCTTGAAAATGCAGAATGTCCAGTATATTGTAATTTTATAAAAGTAATGTATATTTAACAACTTTTGAATAGTATATAGCCCTTTAGCTCCATATGGAAATCTTGATGTAGTAGTCTACAAACACCACTCGTACTTATGATAATAAATCTATGCTAAAGTTATTTGCAATCTGTAGATGCCTTGCGTATAATGGAATTTGTTTTGTAATATAACAAGAGCTTGTCTCTGCCTTAAATATGTTGCATTCTAAAAAGAATGGGAACCAGGGAATTATGTTCTATACTGATGAAGAACTCAACAGCACGGAAATAATAAACCAAGATGAAAAAAATACTTGTTCTGAGAGGCCGTCTGAGAACCTGTTCTATGCTACTTGTTGCTGTTGTCCCTTCCTGCAATAGATTGCTTGCTTTTTAGATTGGCTGAGGTAACTTCTGAACCTGAGCCTTTTAAACATTTGTTTAATAAATTCAGATAATTTTAAAACAGGCTAGATAATCTTGATAGAGCTTGGTTAGGGAACAACTCCACATGTTGCTCTCTAATCAGCAGGTAAAAACCTATTGAGAAAGGGTGAGGGTAGGAAAGATGAAAAGGAGTAACAAACAGTTACAGGTGGGCTGCAGGTGTTAATAAATTAACTTAATTGTGCTACTGCTGGAACAGCATACAGAATTATGTGCTTTAATGCCATGAAATAGTTCTTAAAGCCCCCAGGGTTTAACAGTTGTTGTTTGTTGCTAGGGAAGTTTGGCCTCCTACGTTGCCTGGCATAATAGGTCCCTGCTTTGTGTGTAGCGTTTCCATCCAAAGTGATTAAAAGCAGTCTCCTGGTTGTCATGCCTGTCTGTTCCATTAATCACGTGATTAGCTTTCTCTTTGTCCCGTTGTCTTAATTTCCAGAAAACTCAGCTAGAATACCTTGTCTTGACTTGGGTTTGTAGTTCAGAGCTAATCCTGAAAGAAAACACGGGTGTATGCTCATGTATTCTTTCACAGTGTAGCACACACACACAAAAAAGTGTTAATGGAAGCAAGAAATACCATTCTTGGAGTAGTTTGGTTCTAATATACAAAGGTTTTGTAGCATAAAACTAATATAGTTGCTGATAAAATTGATTTCTGTTTCTTACTTTTTAGAGGCCATGCCCCTGTATAAAGCTATCTCGGCTCTTCAATAGGCCAATCGCTATAAGAATGCAATTAATCTACAGGTTTTGCAAGCTAAAATCTGATTTTCCACTTTTATTTTCCCACAAATAACTGGCTTGCTTGAGTGGATGGGAATGCCTCTCTCCTTTTTCTGGTTATGCATTGAGAAACATTGACCTGAGTAGCCCAACAGAAATCTTCGGACTTTTGATATTTTCAAAGTTGTAAATGAAGTCACCTTCATGCTTGTAAGAAAACTGAAAATGCACAACTGATGGACTTGGCTGTTTGCTTCTGTGGCAGTAGGTGTGCATGAGTGGTTTACTTCAAGGAAGAAGCATTAAGTTCTTAGTGAAAAAGTGGATGTTTTTATTGAATACTTAAGGCAAATTTGGGATGTGCTTATGATTTCCTGAACTTGTGATGGAACGGTAAACGGTAGCCTCAGTATTTGTCCCCTAAAGCACCTTTTGAAACCCACTTAATAGCATTGGAGTGGTTTTGTTTCCTAATGACCACTTTCATGTTCTCATTCTGCCTTTATTTGCATCTATAGCCAACTGTTTCTAAGTCTGTGAGTCTCTTGTCCTTCTTCAGCCACCACTTGCAGTCAGTAAATGCTTCTAGTCCTGTTGTTTCTAGTAAGGACAAAATTATCGCAAAGCTTTAATTATTGCTAATACTTAGTACTGACATCATGAAAAGGGTGTGGATTTGAGTAATTTAATTAAAACCTAATTATATTTACTGTGCTTCTTTGTACACAAGCAAAAGCAATATCCTCTTGGTTTTATTGGTCTTTAAATGTCTATGAGTGAATAATGAAAAAATCAGTATTGCATATAGATCTTCTGATAGTGGCAGTGATGAGTAAAGATTCTTCTCTAGCATGGAGCAGTCCTTAGCTTAAGAAAAGCTGCGAGTGGAGAGGCAGAATAAGATTTAGATCATCTTTCCAAGACAAATAAACGTAATATGTCTACATGAACTGTTGATTTCTAGTAATAGGTTCCTCCTGCAATTGCATGTTTTTGTTAAACTGAAGACTTTAAAAGAAGAAATTAAGGAAATTAAGTTTGATATAAGTAGTCTCCTATTCAGACCTCAAACTGTTCTATATTAGGAGCCTAACATATCTAGTGTCCAAATCTCCCAGATAAGTATCGTTAGGCATTTTTGATGTAACTGCTGAAAAATCCTCCCTTTCAGATATATCTTTGTTTTATTTTTCCTTCTCTCTGAACTTTCTTTCCCAGGAATAGTCAAGATCCCCCTTTGTATTTGTTATATTCAGTTTAGTAAGCGTTCAGCAGAAAGTTCCAGCTGATGCCTAAAATACTCTTGTTACTACCATCTATTCAGAAGAGGTGAAACAAAATTAATTATTTCCCTTCATCTCTGTTTAGTATATAAAGAAAAATTTTAGATGACAGACATGATGTAATCTTAACTTAAAGAATTTATTAAGAAAATATATTTGTATGAAAAAAATACAGGGGCTTAGAGATGACTGAAAAATAAATGTATTTTTGTGATAATATTGTGAATTTAAGTTCAGTTATAAAACAGATTTTTAGAACATTTTGCGTTTTGTGATGTTGACGAGAGTCTGAAACATCTCTATTTTGAGAAAAGTAAAACCAGGCTTCAGTTAGAGACATGCAAATGAGACAGCCTCTGTTTCTGTTCCTCTCAAGTCTTTGTGCTTTATTCTTTCTGCGTCTAATGTTTTTTGGGGTCTTTTCTTGCAGTTTTCTTCTTAGCCCTTGCAAATTTTGAGTTTTTAGAAGCATTTTCTTTGTGAAGTCTTCTCTCATGAATCAAGAAATTTGTCCAGTGATGTTTTGTCTTCTGTGCTGTCTTATTAGTCTAATCACTTGGCATATTGTCTAATACTGGCATGTAGTCTAATCACCTGTAGGTTTGTATATGCTTCAGTGATAAGGTTTCATTTGTGTAACTGTCAGTAAGACTTCACAACATGACGCAAAACTCTGTGAAGTCCTTGGTAATCTTTTGGGTTGATTGATAGACTGTGAAAGGTTTGGCCTGGAGTGAATAAATGACCATCAAATCCTCTTTCTCTTTTTCACTGCTGGGAAGACCATGTGCTGGCTATTCGACAGGAGTCTGAAAAGGAAAGGCTGAGGTTTTGTTCGGTGGTCTGTGGGCTAATTCTTAATGAGAGCGTGTGTGCCACTTGTACTCCATTTAAACTGAAAAATCTGTGTGCTGACCTCTTGTCTGGTTTCTGTGCTCTGTGAAATGGCTGCATTTCTTTGAGATGCTTTTCACTCTACTGGAAGAAAAGTGTGTTTAAATGCAGAAATGTAGAGGGTGGAGAATAAATAGTTCATAATCTCTGAAAGGGAAATGGTAAAAAATGGTGTTAGTGTTCCTGCTAAATACTCTAAATAGCGAACTTACTCAAGAAGATTTTTGTAAATATGATGTTCTAACACTTCCCCTTGGTTTATAGTGTAATACTGAGATTCTTAATATACAAGTCTACAAAGCCTATTTTAGCTGCTCTGCTAATGAATACTATAAAGTAATAAAATAAATGTAGCTTTATACTTCATATTTTCTGTGAATAGAGAGTTGTGCTATTCAGTTTGCTGCATTAAGGAGGTGGTTCAAATTTCAGTGACCTGATTTTCTGTTTTGCCATCTTTCCTGTGTGAGAAGGGAAGGCATTCTTTGTGAGCCTCTTTAAATGAGAGAGAGTATATGAACACAAGCAACAATTTTATGTGTTGTTATTTCAAGTACTCAATCTATTTGGACTTGAGCTGTGTTGTTACAGATGCTAAATACTATGTGCTAAGCCTGTTTTTTTCAAGTAACTTTTGAACACGTGTAGTACTTCCTTAGTATCTGAGTTAATTAACCTGCCAAAATAGTTATTCTGATAGTTCTGTTGCAAGAACTTAAGTTCCACGTACCAGAAGTAATCAAATACTCTTCATGTTTAGATGAAGAGGATGACTTTGTCAATAGAAAAATTACCCTGAAGCCAAAAGAGAATGGGACGTCCACGATCGGTCATCCAGAAACAACTGCAGTGAAAAAGGAAGATGTAAAACCACGAGATAAAAGCAAACCATTATCTCCAGTGAAACAGACTCCCACCTCAGCACTTGATTACTTTGGGACAAGTAGTGTCCAGCGATCAGAAAAGAAACTGGTAGCAAGTAAAAGGAAAGAAGTGAGTACTGATGATGTTCCTTTAGGCTGCTTGTGTATCTGGTACCAGATCAAAATGGCCAGTTTAATGACTGCAAGGAGGTTCTTAACTGCTTGTCCTACTTAATGTTACTTTTAAATCACTGCTCAATTATAAGTCCAATTCTGATATGTGCAGGCATATCAAGGCCTCAAATGCAAGTTTAGAGTTGCATGTCCATGCTTGTGAAGATAGCACAGGGTTGAAATTAATTTTCTCTGTTGCTTCTTCTTGAGTGTCTTTTCTTAAGAAGTTTTCCAAGATAAGTGATTGGATGGGATAACTTGTAGTTGGAGGTGTAGAGTAGGAGGGAGGGAAAGGAGATTTGTTTTTCCGAGCTTCATGGCATGTATGTTCATGGAATAACAAAGCACCAAATAAAGTACGGAGGAAATAAAAACTTGCAGTGTAGTTATTGATTTCTCTTTGAAGTGAGTCAACTGGTAGCTTCAGAGATGTTCAGCATTATTTGAGGAAATGAGATATAAATATTAGAGCATAGTTTTGTTTTGAATAGTGAAATATCTTGAAAACAGCCCTGTTTAATAGTGTTAGAGAGGTAGGAGTAAAATGCTGCAAGTCACGTTCCCAGTCTTTTTTTAGAAGTATACAAAATTAATCCATACAGATTAAATTATTATGATTTATGCAATATTGGGGAAATTGAACTATGTTTTTTTTCTAAATATAGCCTTCACAAAGCAGAGACAGCACACTAGATGATGAGGCCATTGCTAGGCAACTGCAGCTTGAAGAAGATTCGGAGGTAAAAGCTCAATAAATTTGCTACCCTGTGTCAAGAGCAGTTTGTTTAACTTAAAATTGGTTTTACTTTAGAAATTAAGATGGACTTTCTATGTATGCTGTAAATAACTGATAAAATTCATCTGTATACTTAACTCTTGCACATATGTGCAAACATAATCACGCAGTTATTTTTATGGGCATTTAGTTACATAAATAGAATTTTTTTTCCCCTGAGTGAAAGTTAAAAGCTGTTGCCATCCGTAGTTTGTTTCATGTGTCATCTGAGTTTTCTTACGGTTGAGAGAAATGTGAATGACCCTTATGTGTGGCTTAAACTTCCATGTTTGAATCCGTGTTAGTATGAGGGAAAGGTACGCTTCTCATATGTATTTGCTTGCTTTTGGGAAGATGATTCATTTCTCATATATTGGTAATATTCAATATAATTTGAAATAAATACATTGTACATACAAAACTTAGTTTCATCGTTGATCTCCTCAGAGGTATGGTGAATCTAGCTTTAATCTATTAGACATTTAAAAAACCTGTCAGAAAAAAAGAGGTGTTCTGTATTTGAACTGATCTTATCTGTAACACTCTCATTTTCTATATTTGTAATCAAAGGACTGTACTTTATTTCAGGTGTATTTCTGCCTCAATCTGATTTGCGTTTAGTAGTCACTTCCATTTTTTCACTGTATACAGTGAAGAGAAATGCATTTCATCGATGTGGGCACATAAAAATAATGCATGTGGCTATTGGTTTTATAAAGTCATTTCCTGGAATCTTAGAGCATGGCATGTTGGACTTGAAGACAATTACTGTAGGATTTGTGTTATTTTTGTTAAAACAGTGGTCAGTGTTCATCAGCAGCAATGTAGATAGACGGTTGGAGAATAGAAAAAAATTTTCCTCAGGGGACTGTACTGGATAGGAAAGGTAGCTTGATGATCAGTTACCACTGTAGATGTCACATGTATTTTGTTAAGTGAAATTAAAAAAAGAAACTGAGCTGCCTTTTTTTTTTTTTTTTACACTTACTAAATAGCTTTCCTAGATTCCATGTGCAGTATTTGTTCTTACTGGTTCTTCTGTCAAAGAAAATCAGTTGTGTAAGTAAAAATATTAAAAAAGTTGAACTATATTTGTTAACATTAAGTAAACAGAACTGGCAACAAGGGCAGTAGCTAAATTCTCCAGAACTACCGGTATTTTTTTTCATATGATATGTTGCTAGCAGTAAACAAGAATAAGCATTGTTCCTGCTTGTCTTTTGGGTCCGATTTTGGAAGTTTTCTAAAGCCAACGGGTTGCATCTTAATGCAGGTTGATTGTCGTGAGATCCTGCCTTCAAGTTTTTATAGTTAAAGTTTTGATTCTTAAATGAAATCACCTTTGTAGTTTTGAATGAAAAAAAACTATGGAGGGACAGAAAATCTCTTTGAAAACAGATAATACAGGCTTATTAATGTTTCTAGTGCAACAAATCCAAACTCTACTTTTCTCGTTAGACTTCAGTCTCTCATTTTGGGGGAAATAAGTAACTCTGCCATTTTCAGAAATTTATTGGCCTCTGCTAGGATGGGCTGTTTTCAGCTATGTACTGTCTTATTTTAGGTCAGCTTCCTGTAATTTGTCAGACATGAGCCTAAGAAATATCTCTCCTTTTTTCTTTCAGCTGGAGAGACAGCTGCATGAAGATGAAGAATTTGCAAAAACCTTGGCCATGTTGGATGAAACACCACGGAAGAAAAAGGTTGAATTCTCTTTAAACTTCAGTTTTCATAAATTGCATAGCTAGACGTGTTCTTATTTAGGCACCTAACCTTTGTTTTGAGACTTCTGTACAAATACATTAAAATCAGCAGGGTTTACATGAAAATAATATGCTCACTTTTCATACTTGCCTCCTGGATTTCTCTTGACTGAATAGTGTCCTATGAAATCAGACAGCAGATGTTGTATCTTTGTGCTGTTTCCTCTGGTCTAAATGAGGTTTTTAGTTCTTCTTCTAATCAAATGGTGTGTGTTGCCGAAGAATTGTGCTTCAGAGAGCTATAGCTCCCCTGGTTCAGGAGGACCAAATCAAGTAAATTGAGTCAACGGTACAAGTGGGTGAAAAGTGATGGCAGAAAAAGGAAGGAGGAGAATACTCTCCTTGCTTTGAGAGAAGGACCAAGCGGGAACTGTGAGAGTTTTGAGAGTAACCCCAGTGGTGGGAATCTTCCCAGTCCTTATAGCATGTGGGGCAAGGCGCAGTAAAATATTTGCTAGGTTGTACATAAAGACTCTTTAAAATTTAGAATTGCTAATTTGCATATAGCAAGTATTAGTACTTAGACTAATCAGTAAATCAATTAGGATTGAAATTTACTGTAGCCTGGCAGTTTGGCCTTTGACTTAAGGATGTGCATGGCTAAGTGCAGAATTTGCTCCTTTACCTCCCATAGGTAAGAGATTGTGTGCTGACTTGTGGTCAGGATCACGTTTGTTAGATGTCATTTGGTCTGTGCTGTACTTAATGAGGGGAAAACTCAGGAATCTGGACTTAATAGGAGCTCGGGACATGCATCTCTGACTTTGGCATTGCGTGTTTGTTTAGGCTCGGAAAGATTCAGGAGGAGAGCAAACAGCATCGAGCATCAAGAGCAGTCCTAATGTGACAGAAAGACATAAGCAGTCAGAAAGAGGTAGGACAAGAAATACAGAAAACATGTCACCAATTTACAATATTAATGAGACATCTTATATATATATATGTGCTCTCCTCCCTCTGCCTCCAAGCGAAAGCAACAAACTCAACAAGTGAAGCAAAGAATTATGCTCCGAAGCAGCAAACTAAATCAGAACATTCAAGAGGCACTCGCTTATCTGCACAGTCGTCTGACGGTAAAATAGCAGGAGAGCTGATGGATAAGACCTTGCCTTTGAAACCTAGCTCTAAGCTTGTGTCTCTGAAGCAAAAAGAAGAGATTGCTGAAAAGGAAAGAGGTGCTCAAAGTTCGGTATCAAAAGAAAAAACTTCTTCAGGGAAAGAAGAGAAGATAACTCCAAAGAAGGAGAAAATTTCTCCCAAGAAGACCGAGGTAGGAGCTATCAAAGTGAATTTAGTTGTCTTGGCGGAGTTTGCAGGAAGATGGTTTTCGTTTTTTACTGTTTGTGTGTCACTGTTTTAACTTGGTACTTTGACTCTTCTGGGCAATTGTCAGAATTTGAATTCTGGTAAGGCTTTAAGTTCCTAACCGTTGTAAAAATACAGGAAAAAACATAGCTGGAAAAATGTAAATTAAATGCATGGAGGCAGTGGGGGTTCTTTAATGCTCATAAGATATGCACGTACACTGCAAAATCAGTTCAGTGGGGTTTTTTTGTGTTTAACTTCCCTGAAAAAATGCAGAATACAGGAATTCTCATGCTTATGTAGTGAGTGCAAGCTTACTGCTAATGAATGTGGTGACCTCGTGAGTCTATGCTGCTGTTAGAAGGATAAATGGCATTGTTTTTTGTGTGTTTGTTTTCCCTTCACTCCCCAGTCTCCTATTTCTGAAACATGTTTCTTGTGGTTGATATGTTATGTAGGAATACAGTTTTCTTTTAGCTGTCTGATTCAGTAACTGTAATCGTAGAACACTCTGGCCAGTGTTGGCAACCTTAAGACATACCTTTTAATCATGAAGTACAAAATCAATTTTGACACCTAAATAACATTTGTGATTGGGAGGGAGAGCCTGCAACTCTTTTGAGGACATGTTAAGTATTTTTCTACTGATTGAAAAGCTTAAATGTCTCTTAAAAGTACTATGAAGTAGACTTTATTTAAGTGTAGGTCTTGTCGATACCTGATCATTAGTCTGAAAAAACAGGGTGTGAATTTAAAGCAACAGTATTTTGAATTAAGTGAGCATGTACATGTGGAATACAGATGAATCTACAGAAATTTAACAATAAACAATGAATACATATTTTATAAACTGTCACCTGAGTTTTTGAAATCTCTTAAAAGAACAACAAAAATACCTTGAAAGACAAGCACCAAACCCAGAGCAAGCTCTGGTATTGCATGTTAATAGATTAAAAGCAAGTGTTAGAACTTCAGTTTGGTGCATAAAAGTGTATTAAACTGTGATGCTTGCGGTTTTGGGTTTTTTTAATATATGTGTATATATAATATGCATATCAACTCTTTTCCCCTCCTGCCCCAGTCTGTAAGTCCTGAGGACTCTGAAAAGCGGCGAATCAATTATCAAGCCTACAGAAGCTTCCTTAATCGTGAGGGTCCGAAAGCGCTGGGTTCCAAAGAGATACCTCAGGTAGGTTTGCCTGCAGCAGAATCCTGTACGTAGAAGTGGAGCGTATCATGGAGTTGCTGCTGTAAGTGATCTGACAAGTATTGGCTAAACTGCTTAAAAACTGGTATTTTTTTTCAGATACAAAGTAGATATTGGGGAAAAAAAATAAACTGAAGAGTAATAGCTAAATGTAAGGAAACATAAGAAATAAAATTCAGTGCTTGGTTTATGAAGTCATAATAATGAAAAATAGTTACAAGTCTCGAGTTTGAAGATTGCTGTCACTCATTTGCCTGACACTCTATGCTTGAAGCACGGAGTGTTACAAGTAGGACTGGTCAGGTAAGCAGTGTGTAAAGTTTTGTTGGTAGCCGTTCCTTTTAATGGCTTCTGAACTTTTAGAACTGGTACCTAGCTAGGTATGATAGGCTTATTTTTAAAGTTTGATAGGGTACTTGACATGGTAGGGGGTTGAAAAAAGATTAAGTTGAAGAGGTATTTGGTAGAATTGCACCAGGTAATAGTATTTTCTTCAATGCTCTGGTTCTCAGGGAGCGGAAAACTGTTTGGAAGGCCTGACATTTGTAATTACGGGTGTTCTGGAGTGTATTGAAAGAGATGAGGCCAAGTCTCTGATTGAACGTTACGGAGGAAAAGTGACTGGAAATGTCAGCAAGAAGACAAACTATCTGGTTATGGGGCGAGACTGTGGCCAATCTAAATGTGAAAAGGTGAGTGTTCCTGTGCCTGAGCAGAGTAGAAGTGAAACTGTGAGCGGTTAATGTCTGATTTTCAGTATCTGTGCCAAAAGGGGGCAGTACTATCAATAGAGGATGTGTTAAAAAGGAAAAGTTGCCTAATGTTTTAGGGCTTTGTTTTGTTCTTATGTGTATATACACACATATAGGAAAAAACCCTTTTTGTTGTTGTTCCTAAACATAGTCTTTACTGGAAAGCACTTTAAAGTGAAGTATGTAACTCCTACCTTTACTTGACTTTACCTTTAATTCTTGTTTTTGCTCCAGGCATCAACTTTAGGGACAAAAATTATTGATGAGGATGGCCTCTTTGATCTTATTCGAACTATGCCAGGCAAAAAGTCCAAATACGAGTTGGTGGCTGAAACAGAGGTTTGTTTATAGTAAACTTAAGGATTTTTTTTGTGTATGTTTTGCTTTTGTTTGGTTTTAATTGAAAGGAGTTTTGATCTTTTGTTTTAGTAACAGTGACCCTGTATTTGTGTTTAAGACTTCTGCCTGGGAGCTATACTGGGTTTTTATTCCCACCTGTCAGTTTTATGCTCTGACATTATTCTGTGTTTTAGGTATCTGACTGAGGGTGTCATTGCCTGTACTTGGATTGTTTCAGTTTTAAACTTTGACTGTTTATTCTTTGAAATAAGATATTTTGACTGATACTGTGCGCTGCGTGGACAGGCCTGATATAAAATTGTAAAACGGGATGACTATATGTAAACCATGTATACACATAGTAGACTTTATGTGCACATAAAATTTTGTGTATGGTACTCGAACTAATAATATTAAAGGTAATTTTTTCAGGGAATACTGAAAAAAATGACAAGGTTTCTATGCACATCTAAATTGAGTCTGTAGCATCAGGTAAAATGTTACTAAAATCTCCATTAGCTCTACATGTTGTGCGTTCAGTCTGGCCATTGCTTTGTACTTTGGATGTGGCTAGACGGGAGTTGTTGCATATACAGGTATTATTGATGTCTTAAGGAAAAGCAACTCTTAAGCTTACTAGCTAATAACATTCACTCCCTTTTGAATTATTTTGGGTTGAACGCTTTCTGCAATTGTTTTGCAAAAGCTTTGTGAGCATTTGCCCCATTTGTTCCAACCAGGCAGTTATCAGTTGTGTATTTTTTTTAATGGTGCATCATGCTCTTAGAATGACCAGTACGTTTCCTGCCTCTTTCTTGGGGGATGTACTACAGAACCAAGTGCATTGTGTTTAACAGTGGCTTATTTTTCAGTGAGGAATATTTCTTTATCTGCTCTTCAAGTTTTTTGGTTTTGTTTTTTTGGTCAGTATATGAGCTTTGTTAGGTTTTTAAGCACTTCTATAGGCGAGTTCAAAGACAGCATATTTACTGTACCAGTTCTTTGAAATTTCCCATTAATTTCCTTACCTTTATTTTCCTAAGGCAAAGAAAGCAGAGTCAAGACCTAAAAAGACACCACAGAAAGCTGAAGCTGAGAGAAGGAATTTTAGCCCCTTCAAAAGGGATGCTGATAATAAAAAAAAGTCTACTCCTGAAAAAGGAGATACTGTCAAATCCGTGAAGAAAGGAGCTGCAGCTGTTCGAAAGCTCATGGACTGTACACAGCAGGCTGCAGAGAAGACAGAAGCCCCAAAATCTAAGGGGAGCTTGGCTTCTGAGATTAATGAAGATGGGACTGAGAGATTGCTATGGGTAGATAAATACAAGCCTGTATCTCTTAAGGCAGTAATTGGACAGCAGGGGGAGCAAAGCTGTGCTAATAAACTACTTCGGTGGCTCAGAAATTGGCACAAGAATACCTCGGAAGATGGACAAGGTGACCGGCCTGGTTAACTTTTCTCTATGTTCTTCTGTGCCAGTCGCTGCTTGGGGCCTTTGAGATAGCAGAGCAGCTCTAGAAATTGGGAATGAAGCTGCAGTCAGATGCATTTTCAGTAGCAGAAGCAGTTGTTCAATTAACACCCTCCTCCCCAAAAAAGAAGAGAACAGAATATGGTGTCTGAAAATATTTTTTTAAGGCTTGTGGTAGTTGCTTAAATGTGGATTCTTTTTTTTTTCTTTCCCCAAAAGAAACCACAATAACTCAGCAGTAATGTGTGTAAAAATGGGAATTCTTTCTCACCAAGGGAAATGTTGGCCAATGCTAACCTGTCTGTAGGCATGGTGAAAATACAGGATAGCAACATGGCTCAAGGGCTGCTGTCATGGGTAGGGAAGGGAGGAATTGTTAAGGTCCTGGTTCTGCTTGGCAGGTAGTCCATGTCCTGTGTCTGTGTCATCCTATAGGTGACTTTTGCTATGTTTGAAAGAGCATATAAATTTCATTTCAGTCCTAGTGGGTGGTGGGATTTTTGTGTGTGCAGTGTTTGGGACTTACTTTTAGTGATGCGGCTGTGAGGAAGTTGCTGAAATAGCTGCATTCTGTTAATAGCACTTTTTATTTTTCAGTTTAGACTCGCTGCAAGTTTTAAACTAGGGTAGTTCAAGCTGCTTTTCCCAAAATGATTAGGATGCAGATGTATATGCATGTTTTTCTATTCATGTTGGGCCTTAAATGAGGACAAACTCCAGTGATGTTTGATATATTCAGAAGTATGCAGTTTGTTTTGTAATACATTCCTAGGTAAAACTGGAATCTTCTTTTTATAGCAAAGACCAATAAAACTGGAGGCAAAGATGATGGTTCTGGTTTTAAAGCAGCATTACTTTCTGGTCCACCTGGAGTTGGTAAAACTACTACAGCTTCTCTGGTTTGTAAGGTGAGTCTTGTGGTAACAAGTTGCTCCCAGCACTTGTTATTAGATACTGATTCTATATCTGCGTGCAGATACAGAGTGAAGGTGGATAACCCCGCGGTGACCAGCGTCTGCTCCCAGCCTGGTTCCACCTGCTCAGAACAGGGTTACAGGTGAAACTACGTGGGTATTTAGATACTCCTATCAGGTCTGGAGCTAGAGTGTGCAATGGGTGTCTGCTTTTCTTTCTGTTAGAGGAAGCGTATTGCAGTATATTTAGCGATTGGAAATGGCTTTCAAGAGTTATGAGCTTGTTTCTGCAACAGCTTTTGTGCTAAAATTCGTGGGAGTCAAATTCTGGCAAGTTTTTCTAAAGTTTCTATGATAGACTTGGTTATGGTTTTTATATATCTAACAAAAATATCTTTCCTAGACTCATTCTAAATTCAAATACTATGTTAGGATGAGAGAAGTTGGCAGGGCTATGCGTCCATTTCTAAATCTGAATTTAGAAATTAGTTTTTCCTAACTTAGCTGGAACACTGTGTTCCATTAACTGTGTCATGAGAATCGGCTGAGAACTGCATATTGTAGAAATACCCTTAAAGCTAACCTAGTAATAATGCTCCTATATCAAGTTACAGAGTATCTTTGTTCTTATTTGGCTTGCAAGAACTTTCTTAAAATCTGATGCCAGCTTGGAAGTGTTGAGAGCTATTGTCAGCTATCTGATCTTTGTGCTGAAGAGGGATGATTGCTTATGTCAATATTTGAGTTGTATAATGTAACTCCTCATCTTCCCCCTGCCCTGGAGCTTTGTGCCCACAAGCTGGTGGCACACCCAAAACAAGACCTGCAGAAAAGCTGGCTGTGCTGGCTTGTGCTCGTTTCTGCACAAGCGTTGTTTTTTTTCTGCTTCTGGTTCCCAGCCTTGCTTGCTCACAGCTGCTTCGCGTCTCTGCAGAGCATTTCACTGTGCTCCACAGGAGGAACCAACAATACCGGGTGGTGGTTCGAGCTGTGGGAACAAAGCTTCCGCAGCTCATGCAGGGGAGTTGGAGCAGCTGAGTTAAGCTCTTTCGGGGCCTGCTGTGCAGGCTAGCAATGTTGTGAAACATTAGGAGTGCTAGGGGAGTGCTGTGTTTCTGAGCTGTTAAATAGTTAAAAGCTTCTCTTTCTTTCAGCTCTGTGGCACTTGTCCTGACTCCTTGTGCATAAGATGTTGATATGCAGCTGGAAATACCATGAAGCTTAGGAAGCCTTGGCTCACAGTTGTGTTTCTTTCCCTGGTGGCAGTTCTGTTAATCCTTCAAAACTAAATCAGTGCCACTGTCTTCCCCCATGCCCCCTTCCCTGCACACCCATCTGCCCCTCTTATGCCCAAAAAAGATATTTTGTTTTTATCTTTTCTATGTCTAGTTATAAATATTTCTGGAGTGCAAGAGAAAAGGAGTATAATGGGAGAAAGGAATTAAAGCCACAAATTGTACTTGAAAAGGTTGTTGGAAGGGCTTTTCCTGAGAACTCTGAAATACTGTTTCTAATTCTGAGCATGCGTATGCTCTTTCACTGATCTGTGCTCTCTTTTTGTGTGTGTGGTTTATGTGTTTGGACTAGGAGCTGGGATATAGCTACGTGGAGCTGAACGCCAGTGACACGCGCAGTAAGAGCAGTCTGAAGGAAGTAGTTGCTGAATCACTTAACAACACCAGCATCAAAGACTTCTGTTCTGGTATGGCTGTTGTTTGAAGGAGGATTTTTGTTGTGTTTAGACTCCAGTTACAGGAGGGACAGAGCTTCCTTATTACGCAACAGTGTTAGGAACTTAATTTGCTCATTGCGTGGAGGGATCTTTACTAGGGGTGGCTTTGTTTTAGTAAGCTATTTCATGTTCAGTTGTAGAGTTGAATCCTATTATCAGTAGAACTATTAATCTGCACAAACTATTCAAGAGCTCTGCAGTTGCTCTTCTGTTGTGTGGGACTTCATTTGTGGAAGATGACATGAGGTTATAGCCAGTTCTGTTCCAAGGACATAAATTCATGTGATTGAGTGGCAGAGCAGGAAGTTCACCACCACCTCAGTTGTGTCACATGGGCTTACCGAACCTGTAAAGCATTGCGTAAAACTCTAAGCAAGACTCTTAATTTATTCCCATTTCATCTTCTTGTCCATGTTCATTTTCAGGCACATCCTCATCAGTTAGCGGGAAACATGTATTGATCATGGATGAAGTGGATGGTATGGCAGGCAATGAAGACAGAGGAGGGATTCAGGTGAAACTGCTATAGTTATAGTTCCTAAGAGTACATACCATGTACAGCACAAAATATTTCAAGCCAGTTTACTGTCCTCAATGCATGGCCCATAGAAAGCCTCAGCAGAGTACTGTTTGTTTGACCTTCTTGAGAAATCTGTATTCGTGTAAGAAGAACTATCCACTGGTAGAAGTGGGGTGGGGTGGGAAAGATACTTCTGTAAAAAAAACAACAAAAAAACCCAGACAACCTGGCATGGTGAACTGTGGTGTGTGCACGTTAGATGTTTATTCCCGGACAGGTGAATTTATCCTCGGGTCTCTGCAGCTGATGTCGACCTGTAGTGGGAGGTTTGTAATCTGACTGAGAGAGTCGCTCTCTTCACTAGGCAGTAACACTGAATAAACAGTGCAGCAAAGACAGTGTTATACTTGTGTTCTCCGCAGCAACTCCAGTTTTAGCTTCTGAAGATCTCCTGTGGTCACATGCAGTATTTTGACAATAAATACAGATCTTCAGCTCAGAGGCAGACATTTATATTTGAGGAATATGAAATTGAACCGAGTTTCACTTTCAGTTAGAACAGTCAACGTTTGTTCTGGTGTAAGCCTAATAATGCTGTTGAGCTCTTTGGATGGGGAAGAGCTGATCTTTTTACTTCTGTTTCTTTGCCGTTTGTGGCAGGGTGCGATCAGGAAGATGTGTGCTCCCTCTGGACACACTGGCCTTTGGATGAATGAATCTAGTTCTGCAGGTGGACAACTCTACTCTGGACTGTCTGTCTTAATTTCTTTATGAAGAATGATCTAAAGATGACTGCTGGGAGTGATAGTGGAAATGGGTAGACAGCAGATTTATTGCAGCTGAATAGAACAACTGAAAAAAGTTAGAGAGGGGCTAGGTGTTTGCTGTGTAGAAACATGATTACAGTAGGAAGAGTTTTATAGACTTAAATCTGTCAAGGATCTGATTTAAGGCAGGGACTAATGCAAGCATTTTAAACACTTCTCTGAGGTGTCTAATGTAGTTTTTGTAATGTGTTTAAATCACAGGAGCTGATTGCTTTGATTAGACATACAAAGATACCCATCATCTGTATGTGTAATGATCGAAACCATCCTAAAATTCGTTCCTTGGTCCACTACTGTTTGGATCTTCGTTTTCAGAGACCTCGCCTGGAACAGATTAAGGTAAGAAAGCTGTGGCTGTATGGGCTGAACTGAAGTACCATCAGAAACTATGGAACTGGAAATGCCACTTAAAACTTAATCACATCAGTGACTAGCTCTGCTTTTCAGAATGGGTTGTCTGAGCGTTTCTTTCCAAAGAATGAAGTAAACCAAAGTCTTTCTTAAATATATCCAAAGATATTTTCTTTTTTTAAATGGTCATATGCTTTTCTTTTTCTTACACTAGTGACAAGGGAAAAGTTATGTTTATATGAGAAAAATTATGTTCTTAAAAAACCTAGAAATACATGGTAATGCTCTTTCATAGGTTGTCAATGCATTCTGTAGGGACAAGAATTTGTAGGAATTCTCTAATGACAGTTTCTCAATTGTCTGTATTACAGGGTGCCATGATGTCTATTGCATTTAAAGAAGGTTTAAAAATTCCACCACCTGCTATGCAAGAGATAATCCTGGCAGCAAATCAGGACATTAGACAGGTAAGTGCCAATTCAGCACCAGTGTCCATTCAGGGAGCATGTCCTGTAAAATTCCTTGACTTCAATGTAACATTTGAACAGTATTTTTATTTTCATGTATAGAGATAGGGCTGTTTCCTGCATGAGTTTTCCATTTAAATGCTGTTATGCTACTAAATTGTAAATTTTGTTTCTCAGGTTTTACATAATCTTAATATGTGGTGTGCAAAAGATAAAGCATTGACTTATGATGAGGCTAAAACAGATGCTGGTAGAGCCAAAAAGGATATCAAACTGGTAAGTGTAAAATCACAGAATGTTCGGGGTTGGAAGGGACCTCTAGAGATCATCTAGTCCAGCCCCCCTGCCAGAGCAGGATCACCTACAGTAGGTCACACAGGAACATGTCCAGGCGGGTTTTGAATGTCTCCAAGGAAGGAGACTCCACAACCTCCCTGGGCAGCCTGTGCCAGGGCTCTGTCACTCTCACAGGGAAAAAGTTGTTCCTAATGTTTTTGTGGAACCTCCTGTGCTCCAGCTTGTATCCATTGCCCTTTGTCCTGTCATTGGACATCCCTGAGAAGAGCCTGGCTCCGTCTTCCTGACACTCCCCCTTGACATATTTATAAACATTTATGAGATCACCCCTCAGCCTCCTCTTCTCCAAGCTGAAGAGACCCAGCTCCTTCAGCCTTTCCTCATACGGGAGATGTTCCACTCCCTTCATGATATACTGGATTAGGTTTTACTGTCATATTCTGATATAATTACGAGGCTAGAATCTTCTGAACTAATGCACCAATAGCTGGGATGCAGGGAGTTCTCAGACTTGTGACAGATAGTTGAGGAGCAGTAAATCCCAAACTGATTGCATATTTTGATGTACTGGTCTCTTGCATAAGATGCAGTTATGAAACTCATACTTCTCGTCTTGCGTCCTCTAATTTAGGGGACAGTTTTCCAAATTGGTAAAGGGCTAGGCAGGAAATACTGAACATTGAACTTGTTCTGATAAATTCAGGTATTGTTGGGTATCATTACTGAAGTAATTTTGTTGATACTGTGCTGTGTGTTATTGTTTGTCCTGATCTGGAACCCACTGACTTCTTGAAATTTCATTTACTTTAGGGTCCTTTTGATGTTGTCCGGAAGGTTTTTGCTACTGGAGAGGAGGCTTCTCGTATGTCTCTTATAGACAAATCAGATCTTTTCTTCCATGATTATTCCCTGGCACCTCTCTTTGTCCAGGAGAACTATGTACACGTGAAACCAGCTGCTGCCGGGTGAGTTATTCTATACCTTAAATTGACACAGACTGTCGTGCCAGCAAGTAAAACTAAACTAAAACATATCTGGGTGTTTCTGCTTTGTAACACAATCCACTCTGTGTTTGGTTTTTTTCCAGAGGAAATCTGAAAAAGCACTTGGTGCTCTTGAGTAGAGCAGCTGATAGTATATGCGACGGTGATATAGTGGACAGACAGATTCGTAGCAAGCAAAACTGGAGTCTTCTTCCAACACAGGTGAGTGCTTAAGACTCATTTTACATGCTTTATGGGTGCCCAGTGTGAAAGACTGATCCCTTGAAATTTGACTTGTGTAGTTCATACTTCATCTAGTATTCTCTGTTCTGCTGGTGAGTAGACAGTTTCGCATATCCATACTGTTGAACCCACAGTGTGTCATAAAATGAAGTCTTCTGAAACTTTGAAAAGCTTGAGCACCCAAGTCTGTCTTATTTATGCTCCTATCCCAGCCTCTGGTCAGGCTGTTATTTCTCCCAAAGCAGAGAGTACTGAAGCTTTGTCACTGTGCTTCTTTTAATGATCACTGAAACATTGACAAGACTTGTGCTTAAAGGGTTATGACTGGCATTGGAGAACGTATCACAGGTTTGGTTCAAAGGGACCTCTGGAGGTCCTCTAGTTCAGCCCCCTAACTTAGCACAGGTCCAAACAGAAGTTGCTTAGGAACTGAGCTTGCGGAGTTTATTTGGATTCCTGGTGTTCTTTGGAAACAATCTCCTTCACTGTGTCTCTGTGCTGGAGACCTTGTTTGTCTGAAGTTGGCTGAGGGATCTGGGGCTGTTTTTAGCCTGGAGGAGACTGAGGGGACACCTTATCGGCGTCTACAGGTACTTGAAAGGAGGTTGTAGCAAGGTGGGGCTTGGTTTGTTCTCCCTAGTGGTGAGTGATAGGACCCAGGGAAATGGCCTTAAGTGGCTCCAGGGGAGGCTCAGGTTGGATATTGGGAAGAATTTCTATACTGAAAGGGTTGTCAGCCATTGGAACAGGCTGCCCAGGGAGGTGGTTGAGTCACCGTCCCTGGAGGTGTTTAAGAGACGGGTGGATGCTGTGCTGAGGGACAGGGTTTAGTGCTGTTGATAAGGCTAGGAGAGAGGTTAGACTTGATCTTGAAGGTCTCTTCCAACTGAAACTGTTCTATGATTCTGGAAGTTGGCTGCTTATCTGACTGCATTCTAAAACGAGAAACATACAGGTTTGGGATATTATTTTTTTTTTTGTTCTTTTTCTAAATGGCTTGTAAAATCCAGATAATTGCACAGGTATTTTAGAACATGGTAACGAATAAAGTGGTACAAGAGATGAAGCTGTAACCTGAAAGGGATTGCACACAAACGAGCAACTGAAAAAGAGTTCTCTTAAAATGAGCCGTTTCCACTGTGGAACTGTATTGACTGCCCCCTTTTGTGCAGAGGAGTAGGGATAGTGTGTCGTGGTGCTAGTGAGACTAATTCGCTGTGGTATGTCCTGCCTGTTCCTTTTTCAGGCTATTTATGCCAGTGTTCTCCCCGGGGAGCTGATGAGAGGTTACATGTCCCAGTTTCCTGTCTTTCCCAGCTGGCTGGGGAAATTTTCATCCACAGGCAAACACGATCGTATCACTCAAGAACTGGCAATGCACATGAGTCTCAGGTAGTACTGATGTTCCTCTTCTGGTTTTTATATCGATGTAGTTCTCGTGTAGTTCATTACCTACCATTAATTCCTTGCTGTGCTTGATACAAACTTAAGTGTTTTTTGTGAGTATCCTCATATGTTGTTGGGGATGCTTTCTTAGCACTTAACCTGGAGAGCAGTCAGACTGCAAACACTTCTACTCTGGTCAGCAGTGCTGTGACTCTTTTCCTGTGAAGTTGTTTCTCAATTAGGGGTGCTCCCCAGACCCTTGGAGTACTGTGAATCAATTATCCCCAGTGTGAGTGTGGCGAAAGGAATGGCACAGTACAACTTGCAGTTAACTCTTACAGCAACTGAATTGTCTGTTTGCTGAGGACCTTACCTACTACAGGTTGCTTTTGTTGAGAAGTGAATGGTGGTGGTTTTGTACACAATTACTTACTACTTTCAATTTGACCAAGAACCCGGGCGTGCAAGAAGACGATAAATATGGAGTATTTGTCCCATTTGCGGGATGCGCTTGTCCGGCCCTTGGAAGACTTCGGAGCAGATGGTGTACAAGAAGCTGTAGCATTCATGGACTCTTACTGCTTGATGAAAGATGATGTTGAAAATATCATGGAAATAAGCATGTGGGGAGGCAAGCCCAGTCCTTTTTCAAAGCTGGACCCCAAGGTACAATTCACTAATGACTTTTTTTTTCTTTTATTCCATATCTTTTTTAAAGAAATCCTAGAATAATAGTTGTGGTATGGAGGTACTGCTGAAAAGCTGAAGTTGCTGCAGCTGTTTATTAACCGTTACTAGCTAATGGCATTCTTTGTAAATCAGTTGTCAAACATGCTATTTAAATGTACAGGGGTATGTCCTGAAAGTAGTGAACCTGTGCTCCGTTCACCAATCTTACACCTCTTGCTCCTGGTATAAAGAACCAGTGGCAGCTGGCTGTGCCCAGGGTGTAACTGTGGAACACAGAAGGGCTGGGGCAAGCAGGTGCTGTCTTTGAGCAAGCTCCTGGCTCTAAGCTGGATCACCTTCGTGCATTGCTTTTACCGTTGGGCAAGGGAGACGGGACGTGCAACTGTATTTGTTATGGTCCTGACACTGAAGTAAGGGGCTGGCTTGAAGCTTGTGGCTTTCATGGTCCCAGCTAGACTGAACCGCCAGATCTGGAGTGGTTTTATATGGTGTTTCTGCAGTGTGCAGCACATTCTCTTCAGTGGTTGGGGTTAGGTCCCTCATCTGGTACAAGGTGAGCTTAACCTCAAGTTCCTGCTGCAAACTAGGCAGGTGTGAACCATGAACCATGGCCTCCCCCATCCCAGGCCAAGTGCTCGGGGAAAGAGAGGAATTCTCGGTTGATGACTAAACCTACGCTACTTCTGGGTGCGTACCCCTAGTCTGAATACGCTGCTCCAGCGTGGTGGGTGTTCAGTGCAGCTGAAGGTGGCTTTGTTGTGAGTTGGGTGAGGTGGCAGCAGAACAACAGTGCTGAAGTTACTGGAGGCCTAAGTGAGAAGCATCTGAAGATGCACACTCGATCTGAGGACTTTGTGGGACTCATTTAAAATGAGCCTTCACCATACAGCTCTTAGGTAGTTTCTGTGTCCTTTTGTGAGTGTCCTCTGACTGCATCTTCCTGAAGGAAATACGATATGGACTCTGTAGTCAAGAGTTGGTTAGTTTACAATCTACAGTTCCTAAGCTGATGCTCATAGTGTTTCCTTTCAACCAAACAGGTCAAAGCAGCTTTTACACGTGCCTACAACAAAGAGGCACATCTCACACCGTATTCACTGTATTCTATCAAGACATCTAAAAGGCAGTCAGGATCTGCGCTGACCTTGGAACTGAATGATGAAGACATGAAGATGGAAGAGAACCAGTCTGATGAGGATGAACAAGACACTATTGAAAGTGACGCAATGATTAAGGTAACTTAGTTTTCTCAGTGTTAAACTACCACACAAAACTTCTTTGTCTTGTTACAAGTCCCAGAACAGTAACCATCATCTGAATTTTAAAATAATACATTTTATATGTACAGTGATTTTTAAAACTTATAGTCTCACAACTTGTATGTTTCTAACTAGTAGCAGCATGAAAATGTTATTTCCACCTTTTGCCTTCTGTTGGAATGTTGGACCAAAGTGAGACATCATCATAAACTCACAAATACTGCATCCAATTCCAAAACTTTAGTAATATTTTAGGTGTTGGGGGGGATGGTGCTGTTGGTTAGAAGCAGCCACAGGCTGGTGCTTGTGGCCTTCCAGTATCTTAAGGGGGCCTACAAGACAGCTGGTGAGGGACTGTTTAGAATGTCAGGTAGTGATAGGACTAGGGGGAGTGGATTAAAGCTGGAGATGGATCGGTTCAGATTGGACATTAGGAAGAAGTTCTTCCCCATGAGGGTGGTGAGACATTGGCACAGGTTGCCCAGAGAGGTGGTGGAAGCCCCATCCCTGGAAGTGTTTAAGGCCAGGCTGGATGGGGCTCTGGGCAGCCTGGTCCAGTGGGGCATGTCCCTGCCCATGGTGGGGAGGTTGGAACTAAATGATCTTTAAGGTCCCTTCCAAACCTGACACTTCTGTGATTCTCTGATGTTGCAGATGGCAATTCAGTAATACCCTTTGTACCTACTGCCAAATGCAAGAACTGTGGTCAGCCCTTAAGACTGAATATTGGGGATTCTGTACTCTCTGTGGCATTAAAAAACTCTACCTGAAAGGGGAGGGGAAGAGGAGAGTTGGCTTTTTCTTTTAACTGTTTGTGTTTAGACTTATGTTTTTGTCAGGTTTCAGTTGGATTTTAAACTGTCTATATGTTCTGTTTGTAGCAAAAAAAAGTGAAGTCTTCCAAGCTGCCACAAAGAGAGAAAAATGAAGAAACAACAAAAAAAGAGGGGAAAAGAAAAGAGAAAACAAGGCATTAAATAGCATAAAGTCTTGCTCTGGGTGCAGCTTTGCTTATCTAACTTCTGGTGGGAACATGAAAAGGATCCAGTGCTGGAGCTGGGGAAGAACAACCAGTGTGTTGAAAATGCTCCTCTTATAGAGATGATGCAGCTGTTGCAGTGCTGTACTTACTCTTAACCTGCTACAACGATACAAGGTATAAATATCCTTGTGCAGCAAACACTGGGGTGCATGAACACAATCCAAATGTGATGCTTAGTTACCTGGCATTTATGCTGAGTCTTCCTAGGACTTCACTGCTGTCTTTTGGTTCTCTTTTTTTTTTTCTTTTTAGTAAATCCCCTGACGTGGTGAACTCCTTGTAAATAGTATGTGATGCAAAAAAACCCAAACCACCCCAAACCTAACTTGCATATTTGTACATTATAGAAATTAAGCAGTGTATAAAATTACAATAAAACATTTCACAGGAGTCTTTTTAAAAGTTTTGTTTAAGTTCTGTGTCTGTCCCTCATTTTTCTTTCAAGGTTCTGGCTTTCCTTTGTGTACAGGATGTGGTGTTACCCTTTTCTTACAACTTCCCTTTGGTTCAATTAGAGACAGAGAGAGATCTAGTTTCAAAACTTGAGCAGCCCATGCACCTGTGAGTTTTATCTTCAGTCAAACCCAGAAAGGAGTACTTAATAGAAAATAGTCATAAAAGTTCAGAACTGATGTTGAAAACAAAACCACCCATGAGCATTGTGGGGCTTTTACCACTTGCATAATGCAGAATTTCCCCTTGGTTTGCCTTTGAAGTTGATGAAATGCAAATTCTGCTTGGTAAGAAGAATTATCAATCAGGTTTATTACTATAATAAATCAAAGTACAAAATTTATCAAAAGCTAAATATTTACAGGCTATCACAAAACAGAGGTGCTGTGGTGATTGTTATTAAATCCTAGTGGGGAAGAGCTGTGTAATGTAGTGGTAGTTTTCCTTGCTGCTTGCCAGACAAGTGCAGTTCTGAAAATAAACAGAGGGGGTTAGTCACATCCCAAGAAAAAAAGACTGATACGAAATGATGAGGTTTTCTCAGACTAGAAGAAAAATTAAAACAAGGTTATTGTGGTATACACAATCTATAGTATCACTTGTGCATTTCTTCTGACCTATAGCTACGTTTTCACAAGGTGTTTGAAAGCAGATTTGCAAAGTGCAAAGGTAATGAAGAACTTAAACTCATTTTCAGTAACCATTCTGGTAACAAAGACAAAATCTTGGCTCTAAGTGCTCTGTTCCACACACTTCCTTGAAATTCAAGTATTTGAAGCTACTACTGAGTTGCTGTTATGCTGTGATCTAGTCTTATATTCTGTTAAACACAGAAGCTAACATCACGTAACCTGCATTTTAGATCTGCTCCTTCCAGTTAGCATCTCTCCCTCTTGTACTTTAAACACTTGTTGATAGATCTGTAGAAGGACTTGATGATGCTGAGATCTTCAAACTAACACAAGTGGTGTTCAGGAACAAGTTCCAAACCAGAACATGTTGCAGATGACAATGGGATCATAGAAATAATCTGGTTTAAAGCCTCACAGCTGGAATGATTTAACCATCAGGTTAGTGGCAGCAGCCAAACCTGCTCGTGTTCATATGTTCTTGAGGGCAAGTAGGTGATGGAGCTGGGTCTGAGTTAGCTGAGGCACAGACCTACGCTCTAAGTTGGATTCATGAACACTGCATCTCCCTTGCTGGGAAGAACACCCACTGTCATCCAGAAAGAACCCCGATCAGTAAAAAAAACAGGCTTCTGGCAGGTACCTGAAGTTATTGGTCCCCATCTTCTGGTTTCAGGTACTGTGTGCAGTCATTTATTTTCTTAAGATTAACAATGTTAATCCATTTGTAACACATTGGACATATGTTCTCTGTCTGTAACATGCTGTTTTAAAAGAAGGGTGACAGGTCAAAGGATAACTCTTAACATTTTTTCAAAGAAAACAGCTGAGTCTGAGACGGAAAGCCAGGCCTGAGCAGCAGCTGCTTCTGTCTTGGTGGAGCAGAAGTTGGTTAGTTCTCAAATGCTAAAACCAAACAAAGAGCACAACAGGAAGGCTGCTATTGTTTGCATCGGCATGAGGAAAGTTTGGCAATGAGAGACACAGGAGCTTGGGCTAGAGTATCAAGTTTCTGCAGCTTTGCAATTCCTGACATGGGACCAGAGCTTGCCCAGTCCCATTACTGGGGATGTGAGATTATTGCTGCTTTATTCTGGACTAGGTAGTCTGTGTTTTGTTTGGTTTGGTGACTGCTGCTGTGCCCGTGTTCCTCCTCCAGCCCCTGTATTGGGTCGTCTTCCTGGAAAGAACTGAGAAACTCGGGCAACCTCCTCCTCTGTTTTCAGTACTGTTCCTGTTGGAGCCCTGTGTCTCTGGCCGAGATCTTTCTTTATCATAATTTTTGGTCCATTCTGAAGGGATGTTCTATATGTCAGATGAAACTACCAACTAGGGCGATTCCTCCTCCACCCCACCCCAGCTGGCATGTCTTTGGTACCAAATGAAACTATTTGCTCCTAAAATACGATCAAACATTGGTGTCCTACACTAGGAAAAAATAAACTCCAACTTACTTCTTGAATTCTGAATAGAGGGCAGGAAAGTCGCAGTGTGGGCAGACTGTCCAGTCATCCCGTACCATGTGCCGACCCTGCACACAAAAGCCACAAGTAATTAAATGGGGTGTGTGTTGCCCTGAGGACACTGCTGCTGTGAGAACTCATCAACCATGTTCTGAAGATCTTAAGGAATTGCACCAAAAACCGTAGTAGTGTTACTGTAGTTTGATTTACTGTGTAAATTCTGTAACTAGAGAAGGAACTCTCAATGAGATGCAGTGTTTTCATTGTAATTTGCATTCCTCTTTTTAAAAAAGAAAGAAAGTATTGAATTACAACTTTTAAAATTCTAGTTGGGCAATTCTAGAATGTTGTTTGTAGCTCTGTGGTTACAGCTCTGTGTAAATATACTGAGATTTTTAGTGTTGGAAGTGACATTCAAAAAAATGCCCCTAAAGCCACATCCCATCACCTGAGCCCAGGAGGTCGCAGTCACCGCTGTCAAATCGGGGAGCAGAGTTGCTGCCTGGCACTTACTTCTTTAAACAGTAATCATGTCCTCTGTTTTGGTATGGTTTGCTAACTTGCTTTTCATAGAAAAAAAAAAAAAAAATCGTATCTTTTCAATACTATAAGAAAATGCAACAGCACCTTGCCCTAAATTGAGATTTATGCTCTTAATAAACTGTGCACCAGTTGACTGTTTTGACATGGACTCCCAGAAGACCTATGAAAACACTGCATTCCCAATGAGGTTACAAATACCTGTGGTGTAAACAACCTATAACCAAGATGGAGCCTGAGTAAATAATGTGAAATATATATGGATAAGTACGTTATGTTTGGCTCATAAATCTCTATTTAAAAGCCTCAGATTTTTTCCTTAAGCTATATACTGAAATATACTGGTCATCTTACTCTGCTAAAACAGTAGAGGAGGAAGAAAAAAAAAAAGTGTAACTGCTATTAATAGCTTTTTGTAAGAATTCTTTAGTTTTAATAAAGAACGTTAACTCCAACATTTGATTCCTGCTCAAGCAAATTTTGTTTCTTTTTCTGTAACTCTAGTGTGACAAAGAAAAAAAGAAAGTGTTGGTTATATAGTAGCTAACCTCAGTATAAAGGTTTTGTACTGATGCTGGGAACAGAGGACTGCTTGGCTCTTTCAGCCCATCCCTACCTTTTCAGTACACTCTCAAATATCCTGAAACAAACATGTTTGTTAGAACTTCTTATTTCTGTAAGGATCAGTAATAAAAGAGACACTGAGGTCACTGGCTGAACCATTACTTAGCCTTGGAAGTGCCTAAAAAAAAATTCTCTTACACTCTGGACAGTCCCTAAACCATGTTTTTTTGAAGAGTGTTTTTTTAAAAAATTATTTTTATTTGAAGTCTTTGCAGCCTGGAATTGAGGGGAGGAGAGTTCTGCCCTCCAGAGGCTCCTGTCTGTGGCAGAAGAAGGGGGGGAACCTCCACCTCTGCTGTTCCTGCTCCAAGCCCTGGAGCCCCCAGCAAAGGGTTGGGCAGGCACTGGCTGCAGGGTCCCATCTCTGCTCGACAACCCACAGCGAGCGTGGGTGGGCTGGGTGCTCAGGGGAACCCTGCTGCACGGGGCCTTCGCAGACCACTTAGCTTTACTGTCACCCTTAAGTTCCCACAACTTGTAGGTGGCAATTTACAATAGCTAAGGACAAGAAGAGTGGGTTTTGTTTTTTTTTTTTACTGTTTTGCTAACAGCTTGGAAAAAACCCAAAAAACCACAGCCAAACGAATAACAACTCAACTCATAAAAAGATCTAGCTTGAATCTACCAGCAAACCAACGATGTTCAGAAGAACTTACTTACTTTCAGAAGGAAAGAAAAACTTTGTGTGAAGTCTCACAGGGCAGGGAACGCAGCAGAACTCACCGTGGCAATGCAGTACGGGAGGTTGTTTTTACAGCTGGGACACAGCAGTTCGCACTCTGGGAGCTGGAACCCACAGTAGGGACAGGCAGTTGTTGGCTCCTCTGCCTCTGTTGCAGCCGGACGTCTAGAAGAGGGATACAAATGCAAATAAAACTCTCAAGTGCTTTGAACTTGAACAAAGACATCTTACAGTGCCTTTGGTATTTGGGCGTTTTCTTTTGAGTTATTTGCAGAGCTTCCAGCTGATATTTTATATTCTACCAGGTAACTCCTTTTAACTATCACCCAAGTTTCATCACAATTACGTCAATTCAGAAATAGGTTACCTTCCATCTACTTTGAAACAACACAATCTTTTTAAAGTTATAACAGATGATAATACTTGGACAACTTTTAAAACCCACAGTCTGTATGTACAGAATATAAACCTACAGTTTCTCTATTACGGTGATTTTCTCTGACTGTAGTGACCACAAAGAACTGAAGCAACAAGAAATAAAGCTGGAATCCTGGAAGGACTATACAGGTTGTAACTTTATTAAACGTAACTAAATATTAACAAGCAGGCAATAGTGATGAGCTTTGCATGACTTTAAAAAATGGTTATACAATATACTAAATGGAATAGGATAAACAGTTTTCACAGCAACCATATGTGCTAACCTGCTACTCTGCATGCTCATAAAATATAAATGATAATAATGTGATGACACCAAGGGGAAGCCAAAACAAGGCCTACTGGAAAAAAGTTTCCACATACAAGGTGAACGGCTGTTCCTTAGGAACAAGAGCTTGCAATTCTAATACATGCTATGAAAACATCAGGTCACTTTAAAAAACAGTAAAAGCAAATCAAGTAGGCAGAACAGCGACTCTTTCGGCTACTATATGAATCCATGGGTTGCTCACACCTTAAACACAGTGTGTAGGTTATAAGAAAAGCCAAAGGATCAGTATCACAAAAAGACTAGCTAGGTAAGCAAAGACTCTTCAGGTCCTGAGAAGATATGATTGACAGAGGGGAAATGAAAAAGGTCGACAAATTCATAAGTGACGCAGGAGAAGCTGGATCACTCTTCCAAGAGGAAAACTATGAGGCATCACATTAAATTAGTTGGGGACCAGTCAAGACCATGGAACTTCTTGTCACAGGAGTCATCTGTCGCTAAAAATCTACATGACTTCAGAGCTTGGATGAGCTTATAGAGACTGTTGAGACTTTAGTAAATACCTAAATGACCCGTATGGGTTTCAGGAAGCCCCTGAGCTTCAAAATCAGCTAGAGACTAGTAGAATAAATAAAAAAAGCATTACATATGCTTGCCCTGCTCTGATATGCTTACCTACAGTTCCTCCTCTGGCAGAAAACACTGGTTACGATCTATCAAAACAGAACTTCACCTAAGGAGGAAAATGTCAGGAATTCATCTATTTTATTTGCCCTTCCTTTTTTATGTTCGCCATTAGCCCCTCGTTTAAATCACGGAAGAGCACAGTGCTGCACAACTAGAGCTGTGTGGCTGCACCTACGTGTGGAGGGACCAGATGAAAAACGTCACTGCTGGTTAGGAAGCACCTGACGTGCACGGTGCGTTTAATGTTTATTGCATGAAAGAGAACTGAAGAGCCTTTAGTTTTCAGAGAAGGGGGGAAATGGTTCTTAGCCTCCCAAATTTGACAGTGAAATAATATGAAAACAGGATAAAGCCTGTAGGCTTTATGAGCAAAAATAATGTTACAAACCTTGAGATCATGTACATTTGAAAGTTGAGATTAACACTACTCACCTGACCATTCCTTCAATTTTCTTTTTGTATTTAGTATCTATTTTATTACGATACTCTGGTCTCATCAACATAGCGGCAAAAGTGAAGGCCGAGTTTTTCAATCCTGCTTTGTGACACTCAATTACAGTTGAAGTCAAAATTGGCACAATGTCTGTAGGAGAATGAAACAGTGATGTAAAGTATTTATTTACCAATATTAATGTTGAAAGCCTTTGAGCTAATACAGCTAAAAAAGCACTGATGAAAAATGACAGTATTCTTCTTCCTCATGGTACACAGCTGCACAACTTGTGCAACTCCTGTACCCATACACGAGAAAAATCATGATTTCACTTCTTACTGACTTGCATTCCTGAAGCTCAGGGCAGCAGCAAATTACGACCATTTCCCCTAAATCTCATCTGCGCTGTGTAAAGTCAATATTTTAGTTTACATTTTCCAAGTACCCAAAATGTATTTTCAGATGATGATCGATTTAATAAAGTGATAGAACCGATCAGTTCATTAAACACAATCCTGAGACTCTGTGTGTGGTTCAGGCAGCCCAAGGCCAGAGGTGCGGTGGGGGAGGACGGGTTAAACTGTGAGTGAGGAACCCACCCTGGAGGCCGCCAATGGAAGAGCTGTCCTGGGCGGGAGGACAAAGCACACCACGGTGGTATTTACGCTTTGCCATGTTCGCTGCAGGATCCCAGGAGGAGAATGGCAATGATTACCGAATTAGCCCATGCCGTCAGGCACAGTC